GGCGCAAGTCTGTTGTACTTTAACTAAAGTTACTTAATTTAAAGTTTAACAATCGCAAATTGAAATGGAGGTGCCACAAATCCCGAAAAGCTACGTAGGAAAAAATAATTAAAAACATTGAAAGGTTACGTACTTTTCGGTTCCCCCACGTGATTATCAATGTTGGAATAACAATAAAGATATTTATCAAGATTGTAGCAAAAAAATATCAAAATTCTGAAAAGTCCTTATTCTACATAATTACCAAAACGAGTAATAAAACGAGTAATAAAGAGGGCGGCCAAGTGCCTATATTCCCGGCAGTCCAATATGGGGTCGATATATACCAAATTAAAGATCTCGATGAGCTGAAGACGACGAACTATGTCTCATTATGGTAGGGTGCATAGAGACTCGAGAACTTCTCCTTTTCCATCACTCGAAATCACCGCAAAAATTGATTTCATTATATGTTCAAACAACTTGATTCAATCTGATACTTTAATAAATAAATAACTTTGATTTGTTTTTGTATCTAATTACTCCATTTTACGTTTTGAAGTACGAAAAATCGAATAGAAATATTTTCCGAGCTCAAAGTCCACTGGAAGTACCAAAGTTCCAATTGGAGCACCTGGACTTCCGATTATTTCTTTTTGCGCATAAAAATGTCACTATGTTCCCACATGATAGTAGATGTCATAAGCTTTTCAACGAGCTCTATTTCACATCATAACTCACTATTCTCACATTTTTATCGCATCAAAAACTTTTAAAAACTCGCTTCCTTTCAGGCCCGATTTATCGGGCCCCATGCACCCTACCAAAATGAGACATAGTTCGTCGTCTTCAGCTCATCGAGATCTTTAATTTGGTATATATATCGACCTCATATTGGATTGCCGGGAATATAAACACAGCCCTCATATCTATTTGGCTGCCCTCTTTAAAAGTTAATTTAATTACGTGCTGCCCATTCCGTTTATGCTTCATAGGCATGTAGGGATTGAAAATCCGTGCAATGAAAACTGCGGAACGCTCGTGATTGGTTCCGCTCTCGTTCCGCGTTCTGCTATTCCGTTCATTGAACTATAACCATACAGGTCTGCGTTCCAAAACTCTACTCGACGAGTAGAATAGCATTTAATTGACCAATAAGAGCAAAGATAACTAGGATTTCTTTATCATGATTGGATCATTAAATGTACTCTACCCGTCGAGTAGAGTTTTAGAACGTAGTCCTGGAAGTCTTACTGCCTACTCCCTCCACGGTACCAAACGGTCAGAGAGAGATAATCGAATTGGGACGTGGTTGCCTCTTTCAAGTGTAAACCACCGTGACTAAAAACATCAGTTCCGAAATGTGAGCGACGAACTGACCGGTACCACTTGTTATTCGATAAGATAAAACTGCTGTTAGTGCATGTTATCTAAAGGAGTACCTTATATATATTATATATAAATATACTGTTTCGATGTTGGGAAACATGTGTGGAGGTTAATGTTTTCAGAGTGGGCTGTACATTGAGTCACGTGGTACCACGAGTTGGTTAGACAAGGGTACACCGTAGAGATGCCGGGAGCGTCCCGATTGACCACGGTACGATTGGACACAACCAACCGATGAAAAGAATTATCTAGTGAATTACTAGAACGAACCAATCATTACAATCTGTGTCCAATCGTATTGTGATCAATCGGGTCTCGAGATGCCCGATTCTTAATCGATTCGATTCTTTCCCTAACAAATTTAGGGAAAAAGGGTTGTTCGTGCTGCTTGCATGTTTCATATTTTTTGCTTTTAAAAAGAGATGGACGCCTAATCGGACGCTTGGAAGAAACAATCAAGTTGGTTGTCTCGTTTTTGGTTCTTCGAAACATTCCAATATACTTCTGTTTAGTTTTAAATACGAAAAGTGCGAAGAGTGCAAACAACACGAATAAGCCTATTTTTGGGGAAAGAATCGAATCGATTCAGAATCGGGCATCTCTAGTATACCGTCCCCATTCAACTATCTTTTTCCGACCGCTGAAGAACAAAGGCGTGCATTATCCAATACAATGGCTTGGTTTACATTGTGCACTTGATACCCGTACTAAATGGTAATTTTCTATTAGATAATCTTAATATCGACGATATATATAAACAACGATATATTAAACTGATATAATACTTCTCAAGAAAACGTATTGTATTGATTGAATGCGTCGCCGTTGATATGCATTGTCAATATTAAGATTATTTAATAGAAAGTTACTATTTAGTACGCGTATCAAGTGCACGATGTAAACCAAGTCAATGGTCTATATACATAGACCAAGCATTCCTATACTTCTGCTGTAGCAGCAAGTGAAGCCGGAAGTTGGCAGTTTAACAGAGAGTGTTTACGTTAAATCGAGTACGAATTAGTTCCACTAGGATCGAAAAATGTGATAGGCACAACCATCTAGTATCTTCATGGTTCAAGACAACTCAGTACTGCTTTCCGATGTTCGAATAGAGTTAGTTAGAGTTAGCTAGAATAGCATAGCGGATAACATGAGCAGGTAGTTGATTTTCAAAAAATGTTAGTTATTAATAAGTTTAATCTCATATAGTATGTTTATATCGAACGTTTAATACACGTATCAATTAGTAATTTTATATCTAATTATTTTAATTTCGGCGATGCAATATATTCAGTTAACATGACGTTTGCAATCAATATTG